CTCTTCTCCAGGCTGAACAGCTCCAGCTCTCTCAGCCTGTCTTCATACCAGAGGTGCTCCGTCACGAGGCAAACCAGGAAGTGGAAGGTGTCCCTGCCCATGGCAGGGGGGTTGGAACTAGATGATCTTTGAGGTCCCTTCCAACCCAAACCATTCTCTGATTCCATGATCAAGCATGGGGCTTGACTGGACAAGTGTATTGACCAGCCTCCTGTTCACACTCAACTGATCCCTTTTATCTCTTTTTTCCCCTTTGTTATCCCACGCTTGCTCCTCTGCGATCCACTTTGATCCTACCCTTTTCCCACCTTGGGTCCTTCCCCTAAACATCCCATAATAAATCTCGCATATTCTCACAGTCTCCTGGAAAACATCCCATAATACGCTTTACACAATCTCCAAATGCTCTTCCCCTCCATCCTACAACGAGTCCTGTACCTGCTTAGGCAATGACAGCCCTTCCGACTGCGAGGCGGTTGGGAGAGCCGCTGGTGGCCCACCTGGGTGGGTTTCACAGTGGGACCGTGAGCTGAGCCCCCTCCTCTGAGCACCAGGGCAGCCCAGTCGAGGCCCCCTCTACACCCATCAGTTTGTTTTGGTTCTGCTGCTGCTCCCTGGGCACTTGTGTTTTCATTAATTAGCCCTTAATCACCCAACCTCGGGGCTTAAAACCCAAAAAGCATTTGATCCCTCCCGAGATCCTGAAGCATCACGAAAGCCATCTTGCAAAGAGCAAATAGTGGGGGCTGCCCAGATGAAGCACTGAACTGGGATGATTTCTGCACACGGATTAATCACTCAATCAACTTGCAGAGTAAGGATAATTTAGAGAATCTCAGCGTACGCATCCAGTTTGCTAGAATATTTTCAAAGCCATGACCAGTGTGGAAACCGGTCCACTGGTCAGGTCTGGATTGGCTTAAGCTCATTTTAAAGGATTTAAATACGCTTTATCCAAATTGTACTCAAGAAGGGTGTTAAAAACCTACATTTTCCATTGATAATGAAGGAAATCCTCATCAATTAGTGAAAAGGACAAACACAACAGGAAAATTTGAAGGGGGGAGGAGAACCCGCAGTCCGTACATCTGAATCATATTCGCACGCGGCGATCTCTAAACCCAAACGCTTTTGTAATTATTCTCCTGACCATGAGTTCTGACCAGAAAACCCCGAAACGCAGGCTGGACCAGTTATTTCTAACAGAGGGACTGGAAAGAGAGGAAACAGCTGAATGCCAGGGCAGCTCCGCCGTGAGACCGCACGCTGATTCACTCCAGCTTTCTGGTCAGCAAGAGCCACTGTGTAATTCTGCTTCCTGGGAGAAAAGAGACGTGAATCAAAAACTTCTCGAAGTTTTTAGCTGCAGCCCAGTGTGATCTTTTCCTTTCCAGAAGTGGGAGATTATAGAAAAGACAGAAAGGCAACTTCTGATCAGACATTACATCTGTCTTTCTCCTGCCCTTGCCAAATCTGCCCTGGCAAAAGTCAACTCGGCGCTTTTTAGAGGTGGGGCGAGCGCTGCCTTGGCCGCTGCTCCTTATCCCACTAAACTATATTCCACAACTGAACTCGAAGGATTTTTCACATTTTTTCTCTCTTAATAAAAGAACACACAGATCATTTTCATGTCACGAGCCTTACGACCCATGGTATTCCTGCATGTGCCTGTAACTTCGTCAGATAGCTGGTTTTTGTAGGCAGAATTGTTCACAAATAAGGCTTTAAAAAGTACTAATAAAGTCACAACTTTCAGTCATGTAAGAACAAATATAAATCAATACAAAGTCCTTGGAAAAAAAAAAATAAAGCCCTGAAGAAGGTCACTCTATGGGCAGAGTTAAGGTTACCGGGGTGCTGGTCAGTCATCATTTTTCCACCTAGATTTCTAGGAGATGGTATAACTCCAAGAAATCCAGAAAATAATGGGCTCCTATTTCCTTAGCTGTAAAAACCTATTCACTTTTACTGGTGTAACAGTAGGTCTTACTCCAGACTGTCTTCATCTGCCAATCAGCCTGTTGAGCAGAAATAACGGGACAGAAAGGATGAGCCTTGATGAAGGCACTCTGGTGTCACCAAGCATCTTCTGTCAGAGAAGAATTTGACCACGGAAAAAGCTGAGAGAGATAAATCCTGGAAGAGATGAACAAATGAGCAATAGCTGAGCCATATGAAATAAAATAAAACACAGGCTCGCAGGCACTGGAGATGGAAAAGACCTATTAGGTCATCTAGTCCCAGCTTCTGCCAATTCAGGATTGGCCCCTGGAGCAATGTGCTGAACTTTAAGGAAAAAAAACAGGCTGCCAAAAGCTTTGTCAAGCCTGTTACACTTGCTCCAGAAGAGAGAAATGAAAAACCCCAAACCTAATCAACAGGCTCCAAGTCATGGAAGACTGACGGTGCCAGGAAAACTTGATTGTATCCCCAGCTCCTCACCAAACCCTGGTGAGGAGCAAAGGGGTGGCTTTCCGAAGTCCGGAGCGCTTTCATACCGTATGACCGCTGCAGCTGAAACCAGGCTAACCAATACCAAAAACGTGCCCTCGGGCACGCTACGGGAATTCGGGTTCCTCTGGCAGCTATATAGGGAATATTTATTGAGATTTAAGCTATTTGGAAATGTCAAGTGAAGGTGTGTTCCTTCTAGATTGGTGCCTCCAACCCATGTTAATCTAGCTGTGAAACAGTCTTTGCAGTCCCCGTGCCTGGGGACTTGCTTTGCCAGGGTGTTTTGGCCCTCAGCCTCTCCACACCTACACAGATTTGCATCAGAGCTGCTTCCTCCAGTTTGTAGGAGGCTCTCAGAGCTAGA